CTCAGGGACAAAGCTTGCTTCCCTTAATGCTGTCCTCCTTCTTGGAGGTTGGGTATGTGAGCTGCTTTGGGCAACGAGAAGTGAGGCAAGGCTGTCTTCAGCCCGGCAAATGCCTGGAGGTGAATCCTGGAGCCAGAGCTGGGCTCCATGGCTCCGGTCTGTGGCTGTCATCCCATGCCTTCCCCCACCTCCCCGCCCTCTCCTGGCAAGCCGGCCTGAGCACAGAGTCTTTGGGGTGCAGAGCGGAAATACAAAACAAATAAAAAACACCTCAGTACTGAGTGCCCTGCCCAGCTTGGGTGGCCCGAAGAGGGGTCATAGAAGGAAGTGTGTGCTGGTGGCGCCTGCCCATCCCAGGAAGGGCGAGGACTAGACAGCAGGCCCCTAGTCAGTGGGTGATGCCTCGACATGGGGCGCCTGTGGCCTCTACCCTGCTGCAAGGAAGTATGGGGACAAGAAGCTCAGCTGGCCAAAACCGCCCTTCTCTGGCTACAGCTATGGAAACGCCCAATGCAGCAGATATTCATGCAGCATGAGGACCAAGCGCTGGTGTATGCATACCTAAGGTGGGTTTGGGGGGCGGTGTCGGTCCTTGGTCCCTAGTAGTAATGCCCAGAGCAGGAGCCTGGTGTGTGTATCTGCCCCCACCTCACTTGTTGTGACCCTAGCTGCTTCCTCCACATGCTGTCCCCTCCCCTCCAGTGACCACTACCTCCTTGCCCAGGGCCAACCCTGCTCCTGCTGCCCACAACCACAGCCCACAGGCTGTGATCTTATGGCCCAGGCTGAGCCCACGCTGTAGCCCAGGCACCGTGAATCGGGTGCCCTGGCTTCTTTCCATCCTTCTTGGCTCGCAGGCCAGCTGCGGTGAAGCCAAGCCGAATTAGCCCGTGCACTCCCGACTCATGTCCTGGAAATCCAGCCTTGCTCTCTGGCTCACGCCACTGCCCGCTGGCCCAGCTCCCCCGCACCTCCCCAAAGCACAGTGTCCCCAACAGCTGTTGCTGATCATGTTGGGTTTTGGCCTGCGCCTGCCTTTCCCTTCAGATGCACACGTGGCAGCCCGTGGCTACTGAGACACTGCAGGAGGAGGGGGCAGGGCAGAGGGAGCCACCCCCTTCTCCACAGCCAAGGGTTCCTGTAGCATGCTTCCCATCCAGTGCTTGCGAAATCACTCTTTGAGCACCACTGTTTGCATTGCTAATGCCCAGAGACTCCAGCACGTCCCCCCAAGACTCACAGACAGGAAGTGGCGAGCCTAGGCTACCCTATGGGAAAAGTGCAACTGGGAGTTCGGAGCTGGGAAGAGGGCTAGAGGCGAGGAGCCTAAGCCAGCCTGGCTTCAGGGCCCACAGAGTCTGGAATCTGAGCAACCCCCACCTCTTTGTGGCTACCACAGACACCCCTGGAATGGTAGGGACACATGGCCCCAATCATGTGCTTTCTTCCCCACTGCTACTCCTCCCTGGGGTCTGATTGGGAGGGTCCCTGAAAATTTCTACCCTGCAGAGCCTTAATGGGATAAAAGCCAGGATTTTGAAGCTGATGTTGCAGGTAGGGACCGTGCGAGGCTCGCCAAGCATCCTACCGTCCTTCATCTGAACAGATGATGCTGCCCAGCAGAGTTAGACCTGGCGACCACCGCCTAGCACCCAGGCCTGCCTGCTTCCTGCTGGCAGAGAGAGGGTGCTGAGTCCACCCTTCCCTCTGCTACCATACCAGTTGCCTTCTTCCAGTCCTCTGAGCACCTGTTTTCCCCACTCCTAGTGATGTCCATGATGCACCTGGTTGGTCGCCAGGTGCTTGGGGCCGCAGCTGGACCCTGCTCTCTCTCCCTCTGCCTGCTTTCCAAAGGTGGAAGATTCTGGTCTCTGCACTGTCCAGACTACACAGGCTCATGGCCAGCCCCCATTCCTCTCACTGCTTTCTTGCCACATGGCCCATATTTTCAAGGCCCTTCTCAGATGGCTCCTCTACCACAAAGCCTTCTCAGATTACCCCTGCCAGAACTCCCTGTCACACCCACATGACAGACACACACCTGTGTAGACCTTCGAAGCAGACGGAGGACTTCCTTACACACCCTCCCCAGGCCTACAGTGATGACTCCAGCCCGCCTGACCAGGCAGCTGGTCACTGGAGACATGACCAAGTGCAACCCCTTGCAGCACTAGCTCTGCCTCTGGTTCTGATTTGAGTCACCTCCCGATCACCCCTCCTGCTCGTTGATCCCTGCATGTGCCGAAGCAGACATGGGACCCTGACTTGCAGACTGAGGTACCATCCTCCCTCATCACTTTCCGGGTACTTAATGTCATTGTCAAGATCTCCAACTGGGAAAGATTGTCCTGGGGTGGGAAGGTGGCCATCCTGGCAGGCCATATCCCCTGGGGGGATACTGTGCCCCCAACTCCCAGCAGCAAGCTTGGTGCCTGCAGTTTCCCGGGGCCCTTGGCCAAGCTCCTTTGAGTCCTTGCTGAGAACAGAATCTCTGCCACTAAAGGCCAGGTGTCACTTGCCACCCAGTCCAGGACAGGTATGTAATATGTCTCCTGCCACAACAAAGTCACAGAGGAAGGACTGCCCAGCTCGAGGCCCTGCTCACAGCCTGAAGAACATGCACGGCTTTGGCTTTGGTTTGCAAAGGGATTTCAGCCCTAGGCCGGCATGTGGCTGCCCCAGGCAGCAGCCAGTGACCACCCTGCGGTGTACAGAAACAGTGGTTCCACCAGCTGGCAACAGCTTCCAGTGCAGGATTCATGCTTGGTGTGGTTGGGCTGATGACACAAGCTGTGAACCGGCTCCTGGGGCTACCCGGACAGCTGCTCCCATCCCCTGTCCCGGTGAGAGCAGGTAGCATTCGGGTTGGAAGGGAAAGCTGCCCTCCAGCAACTGAGTGGGCTCCTAGGTCAGCTGCCGAGCACACAGCATCCTGGGGCTGTGTACATGCTGTGTTCTCTGCATCTTCCTTGCCCATTGCCCCCAGCCAGCCCTTCAATCCCAGGAATAACAGCACGGAGCAGACCAGGGACCTCCACGCAGAGAGTGAGGGGATCCACATGGGTTGCCTTGAACACACAACAGAGACAGGGGGTGTCTGCCTCTGTTTCCTGTGCAGCTCCTTGCAGTGTGGCCTGGGAAGACAACAGATGTCGGCTCAAGTCTTTGCCACCCACACAGGGGACCCAGAGGGAGTTCAAGGCTCCTGGCTTTAGCGTGATGCAGACCAGGCTGTTGCAGTCATTTGGGGAATGAAGCAGCAGGTGGAAGATCTCTCCTCTTTCTCTCTTGCTCTCTGATTTTCAAGATGAAAAAGGTTAATTTTTTTTAAAGCAACAAAAGAAAAGAAGTGCGACAACGATTTTCCACTGTTAAATGTGGCCTTGTGTGCTCCTTCAGAGAAGAGCCAGCTGTTCTCTTGTCAACACTACACAGAACACTGAGTCCCGGGCAGGACTGGAATGGCTCAGCAATCTCCCAGGCCTCCCTAGGACATGAGGACCACAGATCTCCAAGGGAAGAAGGGTAGGGCGGTGATGGACACGCTCCCCTCTGCAGCCTCCAATGGCACACAGCAGGTGCTCAGTGGCTGCCAGCTCATGAGGGCGACCCTCCATCTCCTCCTCATGGCCCAAGGTTGAGTGTCAGCTCCCCATTTTACAGACGAGGAGACCAAGGCTCAGAGGCATGCCCACTTGTTTAGCCTGCCAGTCCAAAGTGTGTGCCGCCACTATGCACCTGACCCAGAGCCTGGCTTCCCCATGGGCAAGGAGCACTCAGAGTGGCAATCCAGGGAGCCCTGAGGAACCAGGAGGAGCTGGCCTCCCAAGGCAGGCAAAGGGGTGGGGCAGCAAGGAGGAACCAGCACAATCAAGAAGACATAGCCTTTAACTTCAGCCTTTATTTGCACCGGACAAGCAGGGCAGGTGTGTTGGGCTGAGGAGCTTTTATTAGCACCAGTCTGGGGTCTGGGTGGCACATGACAGACCCCACTCCCAGCCTGCCCCTCATCATGTGGCTCTGGCTCCCCTGATCGTGAGCACCAAAGACCCCCACTGGAGATGTCCCTGCCCCAGGGTCTTTGTAAGCACCAAAGGTGGAGGGTGGGAGGAGGACCACTTGGGATGGAGAGCAGCCAGTAGGCCCCACCCTGGGAAGGGGGAGAAGGACAGAACTCTTGCTGTCCTCCACCTCCCCTCGGCCTCCCCCAGGGCCTCTCTGAGTAGCCAGGCTCAGAGGAGGGTCCCTCGCTGAATGGAAATGCTGCCTGCAGCCCTCCTCCAGACCTGATGAGGACCTGCGCCTTCTGCTCAGGTCAGTCTGGGACCTGCTGGCTTTGGTAACGGGCAGCACCACACTCAGGGCAGGGCTCTGCAGGCAGCAGCTGCCTGTGGGGGTCTTAGCACCTTGAGAAAGCCTGGAGAGGAGCTGGGCAGGGGCAGGCAGCACCTGGAAGAATACATCCATGTATGACTATGAGAGGAAACCCTGGGGAAATGGAGGCACCCACTGGAGCTGCCAAGCAAGACTCCCCAGGAGAGCACCTGGAGGGAGAGGGGGAAGGAGGGAGACGCAGTGAAGAGGCCGAGTCCCTGCAGTCGCCAGCTACGTAAGGAGCGAGGGACGAGGGATAGCAGAAAGAACCCAAGGATGTCAGGGCACTCCTGGAATGTTTGAAAAATTCCAGAATGTTCAGGGTACTAGGTGCTGGGAAAGTTCTGGAATTTGGGTTATTAACATTTGGTCCAGAGACCCATCAGTATCTCCCCAGAACTTCTCAGAAATGCAGAGTTCCAGACCCAGCCCCAAACTGCACTTTCAACAAAATTCTCAAGCGTGAGAGGTGCTGGGGTATGAAGTGGAGAATGTTCTAGAACATGTAGGGCAGACAGAGGGAGAGGTGGCAGAGGTGGTAAGGAGAATCCAGGGGGTCCCCCAACTCTATAGAGGTACAGCCCGGCGCTGCCAGGCCCAGGACATGGGCAGGAGCTAGGGAATGCTCAGTCGTCCTGGGGCTGGACGAGGTGGCCGCTGAAGGTGATATAGGTGTCCACGTTGTCACTATAAATGGCATTCTCCCGCTCACGCTTGAAGAGGCGTACCCAGACGCGGTCGCCGGGCGCCAGGGCCAGCACCACGCTCTGGCTCTGCATGATGCTGCGGTCGCTGGGCTGCGCGTACAGGATCACGGCCGCCTCGTCATTGTGCACCACGTGCACATAGGTCTCCTTGAAGTTCCAGCTGTGCACGTTGAGGCTGAAGAAGTAGAGGCCCCGCATCGGCGCAGCGAAGTGGCCGGCAGCCATGTCAAAGTGGCCGTCGGGGTTGACGAAGACTGTGTCGAAGAGCAGCGGCTGGAAGCCCTCGCTGCTGTGCAGGGCCGCCTTGCGGCCCACCGAGAAGGCCGAGAAGCGCCTCTGGCATGGACCGCCAGGGCTGCCGGCCTGGCCCTTGGCACCCTTGGCACCCTGTGGGCCACGGTCCCCCCGGGGACCCTCCTTTCCCGACTTCCCTGGGGCACCCAACGGCCCCCGCTCCCCTTTGTCACCTGTGGACAAGAAGGGGAGAGGTCAGGGCAAGTGGTTGCTTGTTGAATGAAGCTCCTGCTCCTCCCCACCCGGGCCTAGGGAGCAAGCTGGTGCTCAGAGTGCCCAGCACATGCCACACGGGGCCTCCAAGTTGCACCTAGAGAAGACAGCACCACTTGGGACATAGGCCTCCCTTGTCACAGTGACAGTGTGAGTCCCAGCTATTCCATGCTCTGTCCCAGCTCCCTGCTTGCTAATGCATACCCTGGCTGGCAGTAAAGGGTGCTCAGGTGCTTGGGTCTCTGACATTCACATGGGAGGAGACCCTTGCTCCTGAGGTGGCAAGGTGGCAAGGGCCCAGCCAGAGCGACCAGCTGCTGCCAGCTCCTGGCACATCCAAATTCAGAGGCAGGGAGGTAGCCCCCCACTGGACAGCCCCAGGGACTCCACAGGGCTGCCCATATTGGGTCCTGGCCCCCACTATCTCCTCTCTGCATGACATTACAGAAATCTGCTTGGAACTCCCATGGGATCAGGTGTCTCTGGTCCTGCTCCCTCTTTGAGGATATGCCTGGGGCCTGGCTGTACCGCTGTGCTGGCCAGCACGAAGAGGACTCTGTGACCTGGCCACTGACCAATGCCCCCTTGCTCTTGTCCCTCAACCACTCTGTGCTGCTCCTGCCTGGGCCTTGGCCCATGCCGAGTCCTCAGCCTGGAAGGTTCCCCTCCCCCATCTCCTGCTCACTGCACCCCACACTGTCTGCCACCTATTCTGCAGTCCACCACCTACCCAGGCACCTGCCACCCCTCCCAGCTGGCCACCATGTCCCTTCTCAGGGTGGCCTGGGTCATCTGTTGACTGTCATCACTGCCCACCTCACTGTGCCCCACCTAGCAGATGCTCAAGGAACACGTGACTGACAGATGGGACTGTGACAGTTGCATGCCCTGGCCTCTGACGGCTCCTCCACCCTCTTACTTAGTCTCCTCATTGGGTCCTGCTGGTCAGCCCAGCCCGTGCCTGCTATGGAAACTCACCCTTCAGGATGGTGATGTTGATGTAGGGTCTGACCTCAGGCAGCACGTAGGGGAGGGCGGATGGAGAGGTGGAGGCCATGTCTGTGGTGTCAGCCTGGGGGTCCTGGGGATCACAACACCGCCGGCACCCCTCAGTTGGGCCGGAGATCACAGCCTCCCCCGACGTGGGCTCCTCAGTGGGGACCCCACACACCATGAGAGGGAGCAGAAGCACTGTGCAGAGGGGACCCAGGGTGGCTTTCCCCATGGTGACCTGGAAGGAGGAAGGAGGGCCAGAACTTCATGTCACTCACCACCAATAAGATGCCACAGCCTCTATAGCAGATGCCTGCCAGATGCTACTCAGGGTGAGAGTATGCCCACTTAACAGACAAGAAGGGCCCAGCGCAGTGGCTCCATAGCTAAATCTTTGCCTTACAAGTGCCAGGATCCCATATGGGTGCTGGTTCGTGTCCTGGCTGTGAGGAAGGTGTCCCAGCTACACGTGCAACTGTAAATGCTCCCTTACCCCCTTGCCAGTCGTAAGCCTGTTTTCTCTGCTATGGTCCCCACCACCTCCAGCAGGTGTATGCCACCTGGGCAGCAGACACCTGCCACAAGCACACAGCCTCCCCCTTGCAGCCTTGCTCTCCTGGAGGATACAGGTGAGTCTCTGAGTGCCAACGAGGTAATGGGGGCCCACTGAGGCTAACAGACAACAGGTAAGGCTACAGGAGCCTCACAAGGGTGAGGAGTGACTGTGCCACTAGAAGCTGGGGGAGGAGAGGGAGGTCGCCCCAGTGCTTTTGCATCAAGTGCAAGGGGCACTCTGGGTAGACAACTGAGACACCAAGAGAAGCCCCCCTTGGAGGAAGCAATGTTGAGGGTAGACAGCTGGTCTGGGCTGTGTGTGCCCACCTCATTCCTCTGTGCCTTTGTGCAATCCACAACCTCTACCACCCAACCTAACCCAGAAGCCCTTCAACGGAGGGCTTGCACCAGAGGGAGTTCACCCATTGGAAGATGGTTGGGTCAATCATCACAGACCTGCCAATCAACTGCCAAACTGCCAAGGTGGCAAACTGGAACTCAAAGGGGGCGAGACAGAGGAGGGTTGGAAACCTCAAAGAAATCACAGAGAAGATCTGTCTTTGACCTTAGCCCAGAGGGGGTCCGGAGCTTCAGACTAGGGGCCGGAAGTAGCCTGGACACCAGGGGCCGGGGACAGGCCGGGCTAGTGGCAGGAAGCCCGGCGGGAGCTTTGGTGGCAAGCTCCGGGGGCTGGCGCCGAGTTATCACACGATCAGAAACTCGGCTTCTGAAACCAGACTGGTTTTTACACTTCTGGCGTTTCTTTGTTTATTTCCTTTTTGTTCCCCTTTAACATTTAGTACAATTCAAAAATATTTTTCTGTGGTTAATACGTGTAGAGGAGGCAGAATTATTACTTTTTCAAATGCCATCCTATCTCAGCTGGGCACCGGAGCACGAGCAAAGTTTATTTTTTAAATGTTCTTTTGTATTTGAAAGAACAACAGAGAGCGAGGTAGAGGTGCCCCACCTGCTGGTTCATTCCCCAAACGCCCAAGGCTGGGCCAGGCTGAAGCCAGGAGCCGACAGCAGGCAGCATCCAGGTCTCCCAGGTGTGTGGCAGAGACCCAAGGCCATGAGCTGTCCCCTGCCTTCCAGGGTGCACATGAGCAGGAAGTTGGCACAGCCAGACTCAGGGCCACCCACTCAGATAACGGACATGAGTGCCCCAGGCAGGACTCAGCCACTACATCAAATGTCCCAGAAGCTCGATTTTAGGGGGGTGGGGTTGGGATCTATGCCTCGTTCCCTCTGGGTGACCACAGCAGAAGTGGGTGGCAGGCAGTCCCCAGGGCCACCCCTCCTGGAGGTATGTGCAGTTCCTGGTCTGTCACTCCAGTGGGGTTTCCAGTTTTGTTTCACAGAGGCAGGTCAAACATCCTCCCTCTCGCCTTCCATTTGCAAACTCAAAGCAAAACTGCCTCCTCGGTGCCCTCACGGGTCACGCAAAGGCCATGGAATCCAAACTGAGATCCCTGAACGGGGACCCGCACTGTAGGGCCCGGGGCTGGTGGCCAGACCTCTCTGGGCATCCCACTCCTGGGAAGTAGCCACCCAGGGCTCCCAGGTTCCATGGGGATGGAGCTCACTGCAGGGACACACTCTCCAGAGTCTGCCCGCCCAGCACGGCTTCCAGAGGCTTGGCACAGTTTGAAGACATTTCTGTTTCCTATTGGCCATGGCCACATGGGAGCCTAAAGCTTGGGAGACACACAGCAGCGGTGCAGAGAGCAGGAAGCAGGAAGCAAGCAAAGCGGGAGTTGTAATAATAACCACAACTAGCCTGGCGACGGGGAGGGGGGGGGGTGTGCCAGGCACGGACCAAGCCTGGGATACCATGGCATTGGGGGTGAACAGCAGGAGTCCCTGCTGCCTGCAGTGGCAGCAGCGGGGTGAGCCCTCACTGTGAGTGGCAGCTGGCAGTGAGGGGCTAAAGTCAAGCAGGGAAGGGGGAGGGGAGAGGCTGGAGGGGTCAGCAGGAGACAGCAGGGCCCCAGATGTATCCAGGAAGATAGAACAGAGGGCAGGGACCCTCAGCCCCTTCTCAGAAGAAGGGGACCCCCTGACTCACCCTGTGTCCTGCAACCTCGCCGGCCGGCAACTCACCAACCCTAGACCTCCAGGCAGCCTCTGGCTCCCTGGCCCATGTCTGCGATATTGACTTGTTGCTGGCCCGGACCCCCAGCCGCCGGCTGAGGAGGGAGGAAGGCGGGAAGAAGGGAGGGAGGGAGGCGGAGGGACCAGCTGAGCCGGCCTCCCATCCCCTCCTCCCAGCTCCTTCCCAGCCGCCCAGCTCTGCCAGAGAGGAGCCAGGATTTCCTTGGCTTAACTCTTTGCTGGACCAGTGGGCTCTGTGTGGTTCAAAGGCCTTGAAAGTCAGAGCAGAAAAAGGTCTTGGGCCCCCTGAGGTGTGAACTGGGAAACTGAGGCAGGGAAGGAGGGGCCAATGCACCCCCCCTTCCCCAGCCAGCCTGAGCCACAAAGTTCCATGGCTGTGTCCTCCATCCCCAGAACCCACTAGCCAGGGCCTGGGCCGGTCACATCACATCCTCAGCAACCAGGGGATCCCAGGACCACAGTTGGAATAGCATGGAGTGAGTGGGGGAGAGTGAGGTGCTGGGTGAGGAGGGGGTGGTAGAAGGGCACACCCATGCCCCAGCACACAGCAGCACCTCCTCTGCCCAGCACTCTGCTAATCTTTTTATCCTCCCTGCTAGGTGAAGGGGGGTTATCCCCACCCCCACCTTCCCCCAAACTCCAGGGAAGTGACCCCAGCAAGTTCATCAGCCTGGGTGCCCCTGGGGCTGGCCAGGGCCCCTCTGGCAGGAAGAAGTCCTTAGCCCTTATAATCCATCCTCAGGTTTGCTGTGCCAGACACTGTCACCCCTGCCTGTGGTCCTCCACAGCCTGTCCACCGCACCTCTACTGAGTACCTGCAGCAAGGGAGGGGAGGGCATTGGTCTGCTAAGAACATCTGCTGGCATTATTTGGACCAGTGGTGTCAGGGTTGGGGAGCCCAAGTACTGGCCCGTGGTTACATGGCTGGTAGGTAGGGGTCCAGACCTTCCATCCCCACCACTGTACAGAAGTCAGGGTCACCCCTTGGCAGGAGGGAGCCCATAGGCTTGTCACATTCAGGAGCCCAGAGTGCATAGAGATGCCAGGGGATGTGTTTAGGTCTGGGGCTTTGGGAGGACAAAGCAGCCTCCCTTGCCCCAGGGCTGGGTGTCCCTGACCTATGGTCCCAGAGCCTCCAACTTCCTGTTTGTTCGAGGAACAAGCAGCCGGCAGAGTCCTGTGGCTGGGAGGCTCTTTGGAGAACCGGAATCCCACTCCTTAATCTCTCTACCAGGACACAGCGACCCAGGAAGGGCAGGCCTCTGGCTCAAGGTCATGGGAGCAAAGTCCAGGCTGGGATGCTAGCCAGCCTCTCCTCACTCAAGGCGCTGCTGCCTCCCCCTCCCCAGCCCCACTCCAAGGGCCTAAGCGGGGGCTCTAAGAAGACACACCATGCCCTCCACTTGGCCCTGCCCTGGGCAGCATTCCTAGGGCCCAGGGCCAGGCTGCAGAGGGCGGAAGCCACCCTCCTTCACTGCCATCAGGGAGGGAAAAGGGCTGAGTCAGCGGCCCTGCAGGAGCCTGGGGCGGGGACGGGCGAGGGATGGGAGAGAAGGAGGCTGGGATCCTAGGAAGGTGGAGGACCCACTCAGCGCTGTGCATCCTGCCACACTCAACGGCAGCTCGTCCAGGGAAGGCTCCCGCTTCCATTTCACAGATGGGAAGACCGAGGTCTGGGGAGGGTCCAGAGCCAGCTCGGGTGGCTGTGGGCCATGTGATGAGCTGAGACCAGCTACTGGATTCCCCCAGGGCCCACTACAGCCAGCTGAGGGCAGAGCAGAAGTCAACGATTTGCTCCGTCAGTGCCTCCCCCCCCAGCTCCCTCTCACCATGCCCCAGATTCCTCCATTTGTGCGTCACCCCTTGGCCTCCCTGCCATGAGAGATTGCAGTTCGGTCAGGTGCGCCAGTCCCGGGGCCAGAGAAATGTGGGGGATGACTCAGTCCTAGCTCCTCCTGCCAGCTTTGCAACCTTGAGCAGGACAGGACTGTCTTAGCCCCTGGGAGAGTGCCCTAAAGGGATGCTCCTCCCGGAGTTAAACCCTGAATATGGGGAGGATATCATGGCATTGTGCCAGGGCAGAGGGGGCCCAGGATAACAGCACCACCAGGAGGAGCAGGCCCGGGATGCCCCCATCAGCACCCTATCACCACCCAGCCTGCCAGCACAGGCTTGTCGCCAAGGCCAGACTCCCTGAGTTTCTCGAGTCATGGCTGCCCCTCTCCCCCTGCTCCCCGAAGACAGAACGGTTGCTGCGGGCGAGGTTTCCAGAAATCAGCTTTTAAATGGTGAATGACAAGCCGCAAATCTCAGGGTTCAAGGTCAGCAGCCCAATTGAAAACTGAGCAAAGCAGAGCTTGAGCGCCACCTGTTGGGCAGAGGGGCTGGGGACCTTGACCCCCCTCTCCTGCTCAAGGAATTAGGGGGCCCTACCGGGCAGGGGAGCAGCCGGGCCAGACCGGACCCCAGCCCCCGCCCATTCACCCGCTCCTTCCTGGAACCCCTCCGGGGCCTTGCGGACTGAGCTGTGGGTCACCCTTCCCGGCAGCTTCACGGCTTCCTTCTGGGGGAGGGGGTGCCCCATGAATCAGCTGAGCGGCCCCGGATGGATGCGTACCCCGGGAGCCCCTTAGAAGGGAGGTAGATTTCCATCGGTGCAGGCTTCAAATGCGCTGAAGAAAGCCCGCTACCAGCAGCAGCTCCGCTGGCGGGACCCTCGGAAGTAATCACACAGGACCCGGGCCACAGAGGCCTCACCGGCTCCATCTCCACCTCCCAGGCCTTGACCCTAGATGTCCCCCTGGAACCGAGCCCAGTATCTCCGAGCAAGGCCGCGCAGAGGCGCCTCTAGCCGAGTGCTGCCGAGTCTGGCCGAGTAGGGCCGAATCTAACCGAGTGGAGCCGAGCAGAACCGAGCCCGACCGAGTGTATCCGAGTATGGCCAAATAGAGCCGAGTCTGGCCGAGCGGAGCCGCAGCGGACGGCGCACGGCGACTGCGTGGTGCCCGGGGAGAGGGTCCCGCTGCGCCCCCTGCCGGTCACACAGAGCACCGACTGACCCTACCTCGGGGCCACCCCACTGTGTGAGAAGGCAGAGTGGAGCCCATTAAATGGGCTAATGGGTGAGGTTCACCAGACTGACAGTGTGGCCCCCAGATCACCTGCTCCTGCCGCCTATGCACGTGAGCCACTGTGTGTCTGCTTCATTCGGCCACGGTGGGAGGGGGCACAGACTTTTCCGAGTAGCAGGTAGAGGACCAGGCCAGAGCTTAAGGGCAAGCATGGTCACAGGCAGGCGGAGGCCAGCGGGCTCCAAGGTGTGTTGACCGAGGGCGCATGAGCAAATATTGACACGTAGGCTGCAGTAGACGGCAGACTGCAAGGCCAGAGCTGGGGGTGGGGGGACTACAGCACTTTCTCAAGTCTATGGGCCTTGTCCCCGAGTTACTCACCCTGTGTGTGTCCCCAAGTTACCTGTGCTGAGGCTGTGGTGCTTACTGTGGCATAGCTGGACCCCAGGAGGCAACTGAGGGGCACTTCTCCTCCGTGGGTGCTGGGCCATCCCTCCACCTGCAGGCATTGCCAGCCACGGCCACCAAGGGTTCATGCCGGCAGCCCCAGCGCTGTCCCCACTGCCAGCATTGTCACCTGGCTCCTATTTTGATCCTTTTCAAAATCTGTGGGTCCTTTGGACCTGGTGTGGTGACCTAATGGTTAAATATTCACCTTGCAATTGCTGGGATCCCATGTGGGTGCCAGTTTGTGTCATGGCTACTCTACTTCTATCCAGCTCCCTGCTTGTGGCCTGGGAAAGCAGTCAAGGACGGCTCAAAGCCTTGGGACCCTGCACCTGCATGGGAGACCCAGAAGTGGCTCCTGGCTTCAAATCAGCTTGTCTCCAGCCATCGCGGCTACTTGAGGATTAGACCAGCAAGTGAAAGATTTTTTTCCTCTGTCTCTCCTTCTCTCTGTAAATCTGCCTTTCCAATAAAAATAATAAATCTTGGGGGAAAAAAAAATAAAATCTATAGGCTTTGGAGAAAAAGGGCCGGGAAAACAGAGGGGGCAGGCCCTGCTCTCGGTGCTGTGACCTCAGGCAAGCCCATGGACCCTCCAGGATCTCACTGTCCTTAGCTGTAAAAGGGGTTGAGAGGCTGTGGACACAGCAGTGCCTCCGGGGGGGAGGCAGGTGCTTCCACCTGGCTCCAACACCTCCTTTCAGGACAGCCCCTGTTGAGCACCTGGCCACTCTGCCACCCCCACCCCAAGAACAATGATGCATTGGTCAGTGCTGTTGTCAGGGAGCGTGGGAGCACGGCAGGCATGCCTCTCTGGCCTGCCTGGGCCTCCCAGCCTCCAGCGCAGCTCAGGAAGGCTTTTGCTCATAAATGGGCAAATCAGTGGCCCAATGCCACATCGTTGGGGGGCAGCCTTGAACCCCCTCCAACTTTGGGTCTCACAGCTTCTAGAAGAACCCTGGAGATTCTCACCAGGGCTGCCAGGCACAGGGGTTGCAAGGGTACCGCTGGCACTACAGCCTGGGGCTCTCTGTCCCTTGGGTCTTCCATGTGTCAACTTCCCCATTGGCTGCATCCCCCCCATTTGTTTCTCAGGGAAGGACTTTGAGGATCCAGGAGGTGGGTGGGGGGCCCTAGCCTGGCCTGCCCCACCTTCTCTCTAGATGCCCACCTTCTCTCTGATGACCCTGATGCTGACATACCAAGTCCTGCTCTGGAGCCTGGTGGCCAGGGGCTGTTGCCTGGCAACTACCTCTGGAAGACAAGTTCAAGGTAAGGCCTTGAGTCTGAGCAACTCTCATAGTGGGAGAAGAGAAGTTTGGCAAGGTGGGTGTCAGCCCCCCTTCCTTCCTGCTCAGGGAGCACCCATTCCTCCCTCCAGCACCCCCAAGTTTCCCTTCACATGCCAATCTCCTACCAGCTCCTTCAGTGCCCAGCCCCCTACTCTAATTGTCCCCAGGGCTACCCATTGCATGAATCAGTGGAGGCTGGAGTCCCAGTAGATACAGTGACCCTGGAGTTTTGGGATTCAGAGGCTCAGGGCGGGGGTGGGGGGTCATGCCATGCCCAGGGCACAGGTGCACCAGGCCCCATCCTGAGAGGCCAGCTATGGGACCTGTGTTGAGGGTGGGGGAACATGGACACTAGGACATGTGCATCCTGTGAGCAGGTGCAGGCAGCGACACCCAGTGCGGCAGGGAAGCCTGGGGCTGTGGAATGAAGGGGGCACCCTGGCCCAGGCATCCACTTTCATGAAGCTCCCCCCGATTGTTGCTGCCTGGTTCACTTTCCCTTGTAGTCTGTCTCTAACCCACCCCCTACCCCACTGACTGGCCTAACTGTCCATCACAGTACCCTATCTTCCAGTATGACCCACACCTGGCCAATCAGGGCACAGGCTTTCCACCTTCCTTTTGGTGATTGGCCCAAGCAGCCATGATGGGACCCACCTAGAACCCATCAGCTCTGTTCCACGAGATTTTGCTATGTGGATTCTGGGAAGAAAGACAATCTGTTGCTTTAAAATCAAAATCTGTTAGCATAGGGGCCCAGGCCTGTTCAGGGCATCATCCATGTCCCCGTGAGAGTCATGTCCCCTACAGAAAATGGCTTAGAACACACACTTGCACTCCCACCCTCTTCTGGACCCACAGAGGTTGACTGCCCAGGCCACAGCTGCTGTCACGTGTCACCGTCTTTATTGGTAAGAGCTGGGGGATGAGTTAAAGCAGCAAAGGGTTTCCCACCCAGCTCCCAGCTCTCCCCGCTGGGGATCACACACTGGCCAGCCAGGGAAGATTGGAATGCTGGGAGTCCCTCCTCACTGCACCCTTGTCTCCATACCAGGTCTGGGTTTCCAAATGTTCTGTCCCTCTGAGGGGTGCACACTCTGTCTCTGGCCCTGAACCCTCCACTGCCCACCACTGGGGTGACCTCACCCCCAACATCTAGAGGGTAGAGGCCAAACATGGGGACAGGGAGGGCTTCTCCATCTTTCCCACCCTGCCCTTGCACTTGACCCAGTGAGATCAACTCTTCTCCCCAGATTCTAGCCAGGGCAGGCAGGCAAGCGGGGTTATCCGCCTCCATCAGTACGTGGGGAAACCAAGACCCATAGAGGGCAGGGCTGTTCCCAAAGTCTTCCTCCTCCCACTTCTCTCCTCCCAATGCCATTTAGAATTTGCCTTTTCATAGCAGCCTGTCTGCCTGGGCTTCCTGCCTGGATCTGCCCAGGTGGCAGTTAGGAACAGGGCCAGTCCCTCCTCCTCCCCCCAGGAAGAGGCTGCTGGAGCCCTCGGGGACTTAGAAGGCCATCTCTACCCCTCATCCCACTCCCCACCCCAGGGCTCAAAGTGAGATACCTCGGAAATCCAGCAGGGTGGGTGGGGGAAGGGTTGGGGCTCAACTAGAGTCCAAGCAAACCTAGGGGTAGCCTGAGCTTATGCAATTTGGGGGTCCCTCTTTATTAAAAAAAATTACAAAATTACAAAAGGAGGTGCAGGGCCTCAAAAAGGGCCAACTGGGAGGGGACCCTGAAGCGGGCCTTTGTCAGCTTTCTGGAGAAGTCACCTCTTTCCTCCAGCAGGTGCGGGGAGTTTTGGCATGGAGTGGCTGCAGCCAAAGCACCTGCTGCCAACACTGGGCTGAGGCAGTGGAACCTGAGGCCCGCAGAGAGGCACAGCTGGCGAACGCTCCCCCGCAAGCCAGCAAGGCAGGGCCAGCTGGGCCCTGGCCAGCGGCCTTCTTCCCCGCCACAGTCAACGTCCCGCTGTTAGGAGCTCCAGTCCAGCGCCCGGCTTCTTCCTGGCTCCTGCTATCCCTCTGAGAGCCAACATGCAGGCTGCTCCTCGTGGGCACTCCACGTCCAAGGACAAGGCCACTCTGGCCTCAGCCCCTTATCCGGATCCCCCTACTCCACACACACCACAAGAGGCCAGCCTTGCAGTGATGCCCATCGAAGCTGATGACCCCTGTCCCTGAGCCACACAGGAGGAAGAGGGGCCCAGAGCGGTCAAGTGAGGCCTGGAGGTCACACAGCAAATCCTGGCAACAACAGGACCTCCAAATATCCCATTGTGGGCCACCCGGGGACACCCCATCCTCAGTGCCTCCCTCCCGTCACCCTGCACCCCTCCTGATCCCTACAGATAGCTGCTGTGCCGTGGGCTGGGCTTCTCCCCAGCTGGGGGTTCTTGCGGGAGGAACTTCTGCTCCTTGCTGGTCCCGGCGCTGTGCGGTCGCGCCTGCCCGCTGGTGGCAGGCTGTGTGACCTGGCTGAGCCGGCCGTTCACCTCCTTCCTCTTCACCGCCGCCCCATCCTCTTCCTCCTCGTAGTCCTCCTCCTCCTCCGTCTTCTCCGGAGGCCCCACGGCGGGCTCCTGGCTGCGCACACGCCGGGAAGGGCGCAGCAGGACCCTGCGGAAGCCCTGCTTGAAGCGGTAGGAGAGGAAACCATAAAGGATGGGGTTGGCACAGCTGTTAGCGTAAGGTAGCGCCACCACCAGGAAGTAGAGGCCAAAGAAGGCCGGCTCCTCGGGCAGCGGGCACAGCTCGTTGACGATGTTGAGTACATAGAAGGGCATCCAGCATAGGACGAAAAGCGCCACCACGGCCACCACCATGCGTGTGACCCTGCGCTCAGAGCTCCGCCGCCGTGGGCACGAGGCCACCTGCGCCTGCTGGCACGTGGGTGCGCGCACCCGCCGCCCGGCCGAGCGCACCTTGACCACGATGAGCAGGTAGCACAGACAGATGACCAGCAGCGGCCCAAAGAAGCCCAGAGCCGCAGTGTAGATGATGAAGCCAGCTCGCCAGACGGCCACCGGCTCGGGCCATTGCATATGGCAGGTGCTCATGCCTCGGGGCACACCTGAGAAGACCACCACGGGCAGCACCACCACGGCAGAGGCCACCCACACGGCCGCGCTCACAGCACGGGCCACGGGCGCCGTGCGCCAGCGGGCAGAGCGCGTGGGGTGCACCACGGCCAGGTAGCGGTCAACACTCATGACCGTGAGGCAGAAGATGCTGGTGAACTGGTTGATTCCATCCACCGCCATGACCAGGCGGCACATGAGGGAGCCAAAGGGCCAGTAGGACAGGGCGTTCTGGGCGGCCAGGAAGGGCAGTCCCAGCATGAAGAGCTCATCAGCCAAGGCCAGGTTGAGGATGTAGACGTTGGTGACCGAGGGGCTGGCTGTGTACCGCAGACCCACGTAGATGACCAGGGAGTTGCCCAGCAGGCCCACCACGCACACCACCAAGTACACCAGGGGGATGAGAACGCCGCTGAGCGCCAGCCCCGCCAGGCTCGAGCCCACCACTGATGCATTTCCCAGGGTGGCAGCAGGAGGCCAAGCTGAAGAAGTAGAGGTGTTGCCAGGCTCCAGGGTGGCGGGTGCCGGTGAGGGATAGCCCGGGGTGTCCATGGCTGTTGGCAGGGAGGTCAGCAGTCAACTACTGGCCTGCAGGAGGGAGGACACAGCCTGGTCAGGGCAGAGGCCAGCTTCATTGCTGCTGTCTTGGAGACCCACTGCACAGCATGGGCACAGCCTGACCCACATCATCTCCATCACACTGCCCAGACCTCACAGTTATGCCCTCTCCCTCTCCCTGGGGGCAGGGGCAGGGGACTGAGTCTTGGGAAGGCGAGAGTGATTCTCCTGTGGCCCCCCAATACTGGAGGATTGGGGTGCATCTCATCTCATGGACAATCCCTACTCTTTCTACAAGAATGCCCAGTTTGGAGGTGAGGGGAGGTGGCAGTGCCCAACTGACTGAGCCTCAGCCCTGCAGAATGAGGGGCACAGCTTCATGTTGCAGTCCTGGGGTACCCAGAGTCACCCCAACCACTCCAGGGCCGTTGCACGTGGTTTATCTCGGCAGCGCTCTCATCAGATTCCTGGAATTCCAATAGCAGTGGGAGCCCTTTAGCAACCCTGTCATCGTCAGCAGGGTCCAGATGCCCTGCCCAGGAGAGCTGTCCCTGAAGCTGGAGCAAGCCCCGGATGAGAGAGCGCCATCTGGTGGTAGGGAAAGGGAGTCTTTGCCAAACGGCTCAGGGGACCAGCATGCCGTAGGATTCAGAATTCGCAACTCCGTATCTCAACAGCAGTGACACTTGTGGGCTCCTAGCTGGAAGACATCATCCCTGGTGTCAAGTGTGGACACCCATTTTTCATCCAGCTCAGGGGATCTCCCCACAGCACCCACCATCACTTTCCTACAAGTACAAAGCATACTAGTGTTTGAGGCATCACATGACCGAGAGGGAACAGAATGGAGAATTCTCCAGATCCAGAAGAGTGGATCCCGAGAGCTGAATCCCAGCCCACCGTGAAGCTCAAGCCTACCCATCTTCCAGGGCTGCCGCAGAGGAATACACAAGATGTGGTGCCCAGCACAAAGTGGGTAGCCGCCTGAGCCGAGGAGGCCACACGCCAGGGTGCACTTGGCTGTTCCCAGCCCTGCCACTCCGTGACCCCAAGGTCCTGGAGTCTCAGCACAGGCTCTGAGATGCATCCCCCCGCAGCTGTGAGCAGATGCCTTAAACACCAGCACACCTGGCCGCCCACATGCAGCAAGACTCCTCCCAGCTCCGTCCCAGGCAGGCGAGGCAAGAGCAGCCCCTCGCTACTCCTGGGGCTAGGAGAGGACGCTGGACTCCTAGCTTGAGAGCAATCCCTAACTTGTCCCCAACACACCCAAGCTCTCATCAGCTCTCCTATCCTAGGACCACAACACTAAAGGAGGAGACGCCTGGATCACGGGTTCCAAGGTCCCCAGCTACCGAGCCCCTAATGTGCAGGATTCACTAAGTTCATGAAGCCCTGAGGGAGGCCCCACTGATGGGTAAGGACTGAAAATGAGGTTGCAGGTTCCAGTCACATCACCTGGAAAGAACAAATTCAGAGATGCTTCACAAACGCCCTCCCCCATGTCCATTTCACAGGCCGACACACTGAGGTCAGGGCTGGGGCCAGTGCGGGACTCAGTGCCCAAGCTGGTGCAGCCCTCCAGTTGGCCAGGGCAGAGTCAGTTTTACTCCCCCTCCTGCCCCTGGACTACTAGGAGTGCAGCCCCAAAGCTGTAGATGCTTAGGAACCTGCAAATAGGATTTGAAATTCTTCCATCTGAGTCACAGAATCTTAGAGTCACAGCAGTTTAGCCTCGATATCCTTGAAGGGCAGAGTGATAGAATATTCCAGAAAGCTGAGATGAGTTTTTTGTGAGTCAAGAAATATAGAATCAGGAGCCTTCTTGGGCCAGGGGCAGACCCCAGCCCCCCATCCACCTGTCCCTAGCACTATGCGTACATCTTGCTAGCATCATCAACCAATCGCCTCCCAGACCTGGTGGAGGGGGCAGGGCAGTGCCAGGTTCTGAGAAGAGCCAGAGCCATGCAAACCTAATTTCCAGGCTGCAGGGACAGATGCCCTCAGGGAAGCCTAGTGGGGTGGGTACAACCCCTCTTAGCCCATCTGTGCACACACATGTGCATCACACACAGCCTGCATGCAAATGAATACACAGCCTTGCCAGGAGTACAGCTTGCCCAAAGAGATCTCCTGGGTCCTAGGGCTAGAGATCTTCCCCCCTGGGAAGGTCCCCCCTCCTCCATTGTCATCTCCCAGTTGAATGCCCCAGGCGCCAGGCATGGGAAAATGACAGCCTTGCAGGGAGCGTAAGCCAGACCTGCAATTTGGGCTCCGGGAGCTGGGATCCTGACATGATCTATTTCAGCCTCCGGAAGGAGAGACGTCTCCTCCCGGCCTCCCGGTTTATCTTTGGCACAAGCTTTTGCCTGAAAGCCGGGGGCGGACTCTCCCCAAGGGCTGTGCCTGTGGGGGGGTGGGGGAGGAAGGGAGACAGAGGCACAGAGAGGGCAAGTGGCTGCCTGGAGCCCCATAGCCGTTAGGAGCCACCAGGTGGAAATGCAAATCCCAGGCTGCTCCCTGCTTGTCTGGCTCCCACCACACCCTAACCCCCCATCAGAACGCTGGCTGTTGGGTGAAAGGAGCTGAGCCCTTTATTTCAACCCCAACTCTTTGCCCCCCCCCACCCTCACCCCACCATCACCTCACATGTGGAAACAAAGCCGGGCAGCTCTCATGTAGTCCACGGAGAAAGCCCCCAGACCCACAGGAGAAAGCCCTCGGAGCTGGAGGTGGGAGAGGAGGACGTGGAGATTCAGAGAGATTAATCAGCTTGCACAAGGCTGCCCAGCTAGGGAGCAGGGAGCCAGAATTTGAACCCCACTCTAGTTCTGCCCAGACCATCATTCCCTCCCAGTTGGGCTGCCTTCTCCAAAAAGCTGGTATGGACAGCACAGGCTGGTACACCCGTCCCAGGCTATGCCTGCATCTTGCATGGCCGCTGACTCACTCCCACCTGAGGGGCCCTGAGGTTGTCTGGGAACCACACCCCACAAGCCCCAGGTTGGGGCGCCAAAGCTCTGATGATGCTAAGTGGCTGTGTGACCTTCCACAAGTCACTCGTCCTCTCTGGACCCGGTCTGCTCCTGTCCACAGCATGACAAGCCTACCTACCTTCCAGGGCTGCCGCAGAGGAATGCACAAGATGTGGTACCCAGCACAAAGTGGGTAGCCGCCTGAGCCGAGGAGGCCACACGCCAGGGTGCGCTTGGCTGTTCCCAGCCCTGCCACTCCGTGACCCCAAGGTCCTGGAATCACAGCACAGGTTCTAAGATGTGTCTCCCCGCAGCTGAGCCCTGCAGCCCACCCAGAGGGTTCTGGGGAGGCTTCCCTCCTGCCTCCTTGAGCCCTCCCACCTCACCCTGGCCAGGGCATAGGCTCCAGCAAAACATGTCCCAAGCAACCCCCTCTCTCTGGGACCACCCGCCAGAGCCCCAGTCACCTTACCTGCCTGCCGGCCAAGGGCTCTCCTCTTTGCCTCCGGGTTGGTACACATTCTGCTGCCCCTATCCCTGCCCAGCCCCACCACCAGGTAGGCCATGCAGGAACCCTAGGCAGGGTCCCCCACACAGCTCCCACTTCTGGACTGCCAGCAGGTACAGGCCCCTCCTAGGCCCTGGGCCACAGCGGCCGCCCACAGGATCTCGCCCGTCCCGTCTCTGGCCCTGACTTCCCACTCGCGCCTGATGCGTCACCCCCCATCTCCAGGACACATGGGGGGACAAGAGGGCAGAAAGGGGGGTGTACAGGTAGGGGAGCAGGGTGGGGGTGAAGGGTAAGGGCAGAGGAAGCAGGGGTTGCAAGGAGCCAATAGAAATAGAGGGGGAAAGAGAGAGAGAAAGGAAAGAGAGAGAGTGGGTGGAGAGCCAGGATGAGGGGGGAGAGGAGAGATGCGTGACAGCGAGGGAAGGAGGAGGAGAGAGCAGAGGCAGGGACGGAGAGCAGGAAGGAGGAAGGAGAACGAGGGGGCGGCTGGGAGAGTGACAGAGAAGGATGGTGCCACAGATGGTGACACGGAGCCAGAGCCGGCGAAGGAGGGTGCAGGAATGGGGCTGCGCAGGGCGGGGGAGGGGCCGAGGGGCAGGAGAGCAGGTGCGGGTGGAGGGGCGGGATGGTGCCTGGTGGGTTAGGGGAGGAGGAGGCTGGGGGCAGACCCTGTTACCGGGGAGACTGCAGCCACCCACGCTGGCCTTGGCTCCCACTGGGAGTTGGGCAGGGTGGGGCTCAGGGGAAACTAGGGCCCCCCAGACCACCAGGGCACCTGTCCTTCCTCAACCTCACTCCCATCCCGCCAAGCTGGGCATGCCGCACAGGGAGCACCAGGCTGGGATGCTGCTGCCTGCTGGTCCTGCAGTCCTGCAGTCAAGCTTACTGGTTGCAGACAGAGCTCCAGCCATCACTACGGGTGGGGGAGGGGGGAGGGGGGAGGTGGGAAAGTGGAAGGTGGGGAGGGGGTCATGAGCCCAGGGATTGGCTGAAGCACCAAGGCAGGGCAAGCAGAAGGACGGGAGAAGGGATGCAAGCGCTGGGCTTGGAAAGCGAGGAGGCAAAAAAAAAAAAAACCCCAAGGCACCCTGCAGCGAGCACTCTCACTGCCCCAGAATTTCAATGGTTAATTTCAACAGGTAAAGGACACTCATTGAGGACAGCGTCCTTCAGTCCAGGATGACCCCCTGGAGAAGAACAAGAGTGCTCTGGTGGAGGTGACATTTTGCTTTGCTTGATTCAGAAGTAGCTCCCATCACACCAGCAACTGCAGCCCCTCACCCGCGACCACAGCACCGGGGCTGTGCTGCTGGACTCAGGGGACCTGGGCACACATCCAGCTCCTTGTCCAACCCCTATCTTGGGGAAGACAAGGGCAGGAGGACTCAGCCAAGGGCAAGGAAGACATGGGTCTTTGGTGAGCACCTACTGTGTACCAGGCCCTTTTACCCTAGTGGTCTCTTCCCTGGGGCTTTGTCACTAGATCCCTGGAGCTACCACACAGTAAG